CTGGAGCCTTTCCAACTGGCCCAAGAGGGAGATGTAGGATACAGATCTACAGTTCCCCAGATGAGCACAAGAGGCATTATGTGGACTAATAACATAATAACGTGTTTCCCTATAAATCTTATCCATACAGGCTACTTGACATGCTGTTGGAACTAACAACACTGAAGACCCCTAACTAACGGTTAACCATCTCCTGTGTACACAGGGCTTGACTGAAATGCTCAGGACCAGCTCTTTGGTTCGCTCTACTCTTATCTTACTTGAAGCTGATAAAGGGGCTGCGTCTACCTTCACTTCAGCTCTTCACAAATGCCTGGACAGAAGCAATCACTTTCTGGCAGATTCTGTCAACAACAAGCAGCAACACTTTTTCTGCAGTGTTACACCAGTCTCACCTTTATAGGGCAGGCAGCATCAGAACAATTTACATTGTCCCCTTTCCTATGTGTGCCTTGCTGGTCAGGCTGCAGGGAGAAGGAAGGAAGAAACAAGATATCACAGTGAGAAATGTTTGCCAACTGCTTTACCGTTCCCCAGGTTGTTAGCTCTTGCAGTTACAATGATGACTTCTGATCTTAAACAAATGGCACAAGGTGTGAAAATTTATCAATATTTCTTTACCAGCATTCCCATTTTGAAAGTTACATCCAGTATAGGGATGGGAATCTGATACCCAGAAAAGTTCTCCAGGAGAATTATATTGACACTGCATTTAGTAAAAAAACCAGCAAGTGTGATGTTCCCGTGTTTATTTATTTCTGTTTATTTTTTCTGCCTTCGATTTATGGGAAGGGGAAAACCAACAAACTAGTTGCTAAATGACATTGTTTCAGCCTCTAGATATTGTAACTTACATTTATACTGCCAGTTAGGCCAAAATGAAAATTAAAGTTTTGTTCGTAATATAGTAACAAAAAACAGTGAACAAATTTAACTACAGCTGTTCTTTTTAAATTCAAAATATTAACCCTGTTATACAGCTAGAGAACTCAAATGAAAACAAGAGTTGTTTGTAAGTATTTCCACAAGTACACATTTTCATATGTTGATAAAACAAACATACATGTTTTGTGAACACATGCAAAAATGACTTTTTTTTCATTTGTGTGAAACATCTTACAGTCCTAACTCAGAACAGCATCTCATGTCACAACAGTACTTGAATGCATGTGACAGATTTCAAGCAAGTACTTAAACCGTAATACATGTTTAGCTTAGAAGTTCCTATGAATCACAGCAGATAGAGGCAGACAGCATAATGGTGTGAGTAATCTGTCTCTTGAAAATTGTTGCTATTTAAGATAGGAAAACCGAAATCCCTTCCAGAATTAACATGCTGTGATATTTATCATAATATTTTTTCTATCAAACATCTTACCTACAACTGCTAGCATATAAATTCTTCTAGCACTGATTCAGCTAAATTACACACAAATGTAAATCACAGACTCTCAATTACAAAAGACATAATACTTTGATACAAGTCTGGAACAAGAATATCTTCATCTAAATCAATTTAAATTAGTAGCAAACATAAAACACACCATGAAACAAGTTACCATGAAGCTAAATGAGTTAGCCTACATCTACAAGGAAACGGTTGAGCTTAGGTCAATTGGAGTCAACAGTTGTACCTGCACTGGGAATGCCTTATCCACCAAGATTAATGTAGCTCAGAAGAGCACTACCTGCAAACACTTGCTGCAGAAAGAGCCATTTCACATGTCCAGTGATGCACTCCTATCCTCTTGTTGGAGATCAGCATCTCCACAGGAGACATGAAAGAACATGTCCTCAGAACACTCTCTATCTACTTCAGTAATTTGGACAGGTCTTTTTATAAAATAAGCCAGTGTTTGTAACAAATTGGATGAGAGGTGTTTGCAGCTTCCAAGCCATTAGTTTAGATGGGGCAGAGCTGACAAGTATCAGCCACAGGGAGTTACAAACAAGAGATGACAATGACTTTAGCCAGTATAGCCATTTCTTCAGCAAAGTTCTGACCCATATGTCTGCTATGATCATACATCTAGCCAAAATGTAACTTGTACTAGCTTGTTTTGCACTGGCACAGTGAAAGCATCCCTCTTCCACATGCCCCCCCCCAAAAAAAATCCCAAAACAAAGCAGAGCTCTATTGTTGTGGTTTCCTGTTACAACTTAGGCAAAGGCCATGTGCACTCTGGGGTACAGGTAGAGCCATTTGAGAAAAAACTGCCAAGAGCTTGTTTTTTACCACTGTCCAGCCACAGGTCGTTTTGCTGATGTTGTTAAGCCATAGTAAATTTCTGTGAGTGATCCTAGCCCATTTCAGTGCATATGGTAAATTAGATCTAACAATTTGCTGATATTGTGTGGACTTAGATTAGGAATACTCACTAATGAGTTTAATTTTACTAATAGTAAAAAAGTTTCAAAAGGTATTTCAAGACTTTATTAACAGCTCTTGTAAGACAACAAACCTTTGTCAGGAGCCTTATACTGCTTTCCATAGTACTGTTGGTAGAAATCTCTAATGCAGGCTCTAAGGATTATCTGTGCTGCAAAGTGGTACCATTTCATAAAGCAGAGCCCCCTGTGGATAAACTCTTGTAAAGACAAGACATGTAAGTAGTGGGCTTTTAAGATGCATTACGTACCTGCTGCAGTTTACTATATACCTATTGCAGTTCTGCAGAACAGTTTTTTCTTCCTCATGCAGTATGTGGTGGTACAAGGTTGTTTATGTTAAGAAATGCGCTGGAGCTGAGACCATCCTGGTTTGGGCTTTTTCGTGGTCATGGGCCCTTAAGTCTACTCCAGCAGTGGACGCCTCTACTTTGCTCCACCCTTCAGCAGTGCATGTAAATCGAGGAAGGCCAGAGAGTTACAGCCCAGAGGGAGATGGTCCCAGCCTGTCAGGACCTCAGTGAGGGCTCAGCAAGCGCTGTAATTGAGAACTATGTCTTTTCAACTATCGTGTAAGCTGAACAGAAAAAGAAAAGTTTCATCCATTCTCCTTCTCTTCTTCTGTATGGTGTGAGGACTGCTGCATGCAACAGCCTGCAGTGAGGGGCTTTGGACCTCTTCCCTCTGCTCAAGTTTTCCTGGAGGATCTCACGGGTATTAAGGCTGCCAGAAAATGTACGGGGGAAATCATGTTAGGTAAGGCTGCCTGAGTTGCCAGAGACCTTCTGTAGACAAGGATGGTTTTCCTTTCAGCGGTGCTTTTTTTTTTTTAATTGATAATTAGGCCAGGAAGCTGAAAGAAATGAATGTACCTGGAGCTGCCGGTGAAGTGAAGGCTAATGTTTTTTTCTTGCCTTTGCTGCTTTTGCAACTGCTGGCAACCTAGCTGTGGTAAAGAAATATACTGGTTGTCAACCAGCAAATGCATGGAATACATAGCTTTCTGGAAGCACGCCTAATCTGTATGCCCCTGCCCTCTGCCCTCCCCCTCCCCACTCCAGTTTTCAAGCTTAATAAGATTTTTTGTTCTATTAATTTTAATTACTGCTGACATAAAATATTTATCGTTTATATTATCAGTGGTTGATAAAGCTCTGAAAAAGCTCCACCCACCCACGATTTTGGTGTTTGTGTCTTATCAGCACAAATTTATTTCAGTTCTTTATTTATTGTAGATTTCTTTTCACGATTACTCTGGTTTGGCAGGCTGTTCATTTAGGAAAAGGTAAGGAAAAATTCGTGCTTCCTTCTGCTCCCTCCCCCCTCGCTTGTTTCTCTGGTAGATTTACAGTATGTATTGCTTCATTAAGAGCAGTCCTTCTCTCCCACATATGCAATTATTGTCAAGGCCGTGAAAAAGAAGAACGTGAAGATGTGAAAAGTCTCAATGCCACAGCACAAAAGCACCAGCCCAAAAACGAAGGGACTATTATAAATGCTCTCAGTGACATGAATCAGAGTTATGAAAGCAGAAAGCAACAGAATTCCAGGGAATTGGTACCTTTCACTGGGATTACAGAGAGTAGGTAACATTATTAATTTAAATACTATTAAAATTGCTTTTTAAAATATTATATCAGTGTTTTGACTGTTGCCTTGAAGATTCCAGCTGTTTGATTTTCTGTGGCAGGTCCCTTAAAATATTTCCGTGGGC